TTGCTCACATGGGTTGTGCTTTGAGATCCTATTTCTTGTCTTTCAATAGTTTGGTTTGAGAAGTTGGCATGAATAATCTAGCAGGCCTTAAATTATGGGTCCATAGCGGACAACTGGAGCAAGTACAGGGTGACTCCAGTGGCAATGCTTTCAGGTATGCTTTCAGTCCCCACACAGGAGAGGTTGAATTTCCTATTCTTCCAGGAACTTACAGTTAAAATAAATACCCAAAACACGTCAGTTCATTTCTGACATTCTCAAATCAATGAAGATGGAGTCATAATATTCACCTTCATTTTTACTAATTTGGTCTTGATCCAAAGGGCAGTCGGGTACAATTTATCTTTTATGTCCATGTTCATGATTTTTTAAAAGGCCATATTTTCATTATGCTTCTTGAATTTTTTTCTCTATATAATGGAAGCACATTGAAATTAAATAAAACTAAGTATTTTTAATACTCTTACTGCACCTATACAGAAAACCTTCATCTATGGATATGATTGGCCACTGTGGGTGGTGCCCATTATAAACGGCAAGCATTTGGGGAGGGCCCAAACACTGTGCTCAATCAGGCAGGCGCCAATCAAACCAGTTGGATCATGAGAAAAAAGACACAACATGCAGTTTTTTGTTTTTGTTTTTGTTTTCTGAGACAGTGTCTCACTCTGTTGCCCAGGCTGGAGGGCAGTGGCGTGATCTCGGCTCACCACAAGCTCCGCCTCCTGGGTTCACACCATTCTCCTGCCTCAGGCTCCCAAGTAGCTGGGACTACAGGCGCCCGCCACCTTGCCCGGCTAATTTTTTGTATTTTTAGTAGAGACAGGGTTTCACCGTGTTAGCTAGGATGCTCTCGATCTCCTGACCTCATGATCTGCCTGCCTCGGCCTCCCAAAGTGCTGGGATTACAGGTGTGAGCCACCGCGCCCAGTCACAATATGCAGTTTTTGAGAAAAATCTTAGTGTCCCACACACTGCTGAGCCTACAGTCAATAAAACACTGATTGTTTTAATAACTTGAGTCCATTACCTATTACTCTTCAGCAAGGCAACAAAACAAATGAATATGGACAAACTGAAAAGCGGCACTAGCATGTCGCATCTCATTTCCTTTACGTATTTTGAAAGAGTGTAATATTTATGAAGTGTCTGTATGCCAAGGATACGTTATCTTTTAAATAGTAGACAGTCAATAAATATTTGCTAACTGAATAAAAAGAAAAGCACATAATTTATCACTTGGAATCTTCTTTTAACCTGACAATCAAAAACAAAACAATATAATCTACAACAAAGTTTTTTAGTTTCTGTTTTACCAGTAGATTAATAGAGTTTTTAAAAGAGGTTAAAAAGATACAGATAGCTATTATAGATAAAAGCTATTATTTACTTGTACTAAAATTGCTTGATTTTTCTGGAAATCTAAACATTTGTAAAAATAACTAGGTCATTTATTTCATTTAATGACTTTTTTTTTTTTTTTTTTTTTTTTGAGACGGAGTCTCGCTCTGTCACCCAGGCTGGAGTGCAGTGGCGCGATCTCAGCTCACTGCAAGCTCCACCTCCCGGGTTCACGCCATTCTCCTGCCTCAGCCTCCCGAGTAGCTGGGACTACAGGCGCCTGCCACCTCGCCCGGCTAAGTTTTTGTATTTTTTTAGTAGAGACGGGGTTTCACTGTGTTACCCAGGATGGTCTCGATCTCCTGACCTCGTGATCCGCCCGTCTCGGCCTCCCAAAGTGCTGGGATTACAGGCTTGAGCCACCGCGCCCGGCTGACTTATTTTCAATTTAATCAAAATTATTAGAGATTCATAAGGTTTTTAATAATTTTAGAACCAATGAATACCTTTACAGTGACTACACTGTCTTCATTAAGAATGGAAAAAGAAAACATGCAACAGGAAAGAAGCATACCAGAATGCTTATCTCTTTTTCTTTTTTTGAGATGGAATCTCTCTCTGTTACCCAGGCTGGAGTACAATGGCACGATCTTGGCTCACTGTAACCTCCCCGTCCGGGGTTCAAGCAATTCTCCTACCTCAGCCTCCCGAGTAGCTGGGATTACAGGCATGCACCACCACACCCAGCTAATCTTTGTATTTTTACTAGAGATGGGGTTTCACCATGTTGGCCAGGCTGGTCTCAAACTCCTGACCCCAGGTGATCCACCTGCCTGGGCCTCCCAAAGTGCTGGGATAACAGGTGTAAGCCACCCTGCCTGGCCTCTTTTTGGGGGGGATGAGTAGGGGACTCAATGTCTCACTCTGTCACCCAGGCTGGAGTATAGTGGCACAATCTTGGCTCACTGCAACCTCTACCTTCTGGGTTCAAGCTCAATTCTCACGCCTCAGCTTCCCAAGTAGCTGGGATTACAGGCACATGCCATTATTACCGGCTAATTTTTGTGTTTTCAGTAGAGACGGGGTTTCACCATGTTGGCCAGGCTGGTCTCAAACTCCTGACCTTAGGTGATCCACCTGCCCTCGGCCTCCCAAAGTCCTGGGATTACAGGCATGAACCACTGCACCAGGCCCAATAATGCTTATCTTGAGCACCTCTGAGTTTTAATATTTTCTGTATTTTCAAATTTTTCTTCACTAAGTTATGTATTCCTTGAAGGATCAAAAAAGTTGTTTTTTTTTTTTTTTTTAAAGATAGTGTGGGATGCTACCACATTAAATGGAGAGAGCAAAGCAAAACAAAACAAAAGGCAGCTATGAGTACTCTTTCTCTAGAACGTGGCTTTCTTTACTGAATGCCTCCAAAGATTTTTAGGCATGGGTGGGTGAAGGAACAGGGAATAGATATTATAGAACTAGACAATTAATAATCCTGTACCCTACTTAAAGAAAAAAGGCAGAGTCTAAGTAAATTTAGCTCTTAGACTCTTTGAGGCATCTTTATACATCACTTGAGGAAACAGCATCTAGATCTTAAAAAAAAAATCACAGACACACTGTGGAGAGAAAATCTGGAAAGAATGAACCTTGGCTCCTCTTGTTACAGCTTAAATCTTCTCTAAATCTAACTTCAGAAGGTGGATCCAAGAATTTTTTGTTCTAGTTTTAAAGTAACAAAAGACTAAGTGTAAAAGTGGAATACGTTCCCTTTTAGAAATAGAAGGAAGAGAACAGAAATAGACTGTGAGGGTGTGATTATGATTCTTACAGAATTTTAATATCATGGGCATATTAAGCAAATGCATAAAATGTGTTTTAACACACCCACTATTACTGAACAATTCACATGCGTCTGAATCAGCCTAAATCTCTTCAGGAATTGAGGACTACAGAGTTTTATCTGCATCTGAAATCATCTTTTCCCACATAAACAATACTGACGTTCAGAGAGTTTCAATAAATTTTCATCCAAAACTAAGCGGATCAAAATGGTACTAATCCTATATGCATTTTCCAACCTGTCAGAGAAAAGCATGGCAGTTACGTACAAAAAAAACTGTTAGCAGTACCATGATAAAGAAGCTGATGTACAATGTCATCCCTGTATATAAAAACTGGTTCTAGTATTTCCTTGGCTTCTCAGGTACAATGTAACAGATGCTGTAGTAAGCCTGTTTGTGACTGATGGTTTTTCTAGATCTTTGAAAATTGTATGAGGGGTTGGGAATCGGGAGAATAATGAAAAATGATTACCATACTCCTGATAACACAGACTACATTATAAGATTATGTAAGAGGCCGGGCACGGTAGCTCACACCTGTAATCCCAGCCGAGGTGGGTGGATCACGAGGTCATGAGTTCAAGATCAGCCTGGCCAAGATGGTAAAACCCTGTCTCCACTAAAAATACAAAAATTAGCCAGGTGCAGTGGCAGGTGCCTGTAATCCCAGCTACTCAGGAGGCTGAGGCAGGAGAATGGCTTGAACCCGGGCGGCAAGAGGTTGCAGTGAGCCAAGATCACACCACTGTATTCCAGCCTGGGCAACAGAGCGAGACTTTGTCTCCAAAAAAAAAAAAAAAAAAAAAAAAGATGATGTAAGAGGGGCGGGCGCAGTGGTTCACACCTATAATCCCAGCACTTTGACAGGCCAAGGCGGAAGGATCACTTGAGGCCAGGAGTTCAAGACCAGCCTGGGCAACATAGCAACACCCTGTCTCTACAAAAAATAAAAAAATTAGCCGGGCATGGTGGCAGGATTCTTGGGCCTTACAGTTTGAGGCTTCAGTGAGCCATGATTGTGCCACTGCACTCTTACCTGGGTGACAGAGCAAGATCCTGTCAAAAAAAAAAAAAAAAAAAAGATGATATAATGGATGGGCAGAGAACAAGAGTCTGAGATCAGGCACTTGGGACTTGGGTCCTGGTCCCAGCCTTGTCTCTCACTACCTCAGTGACTACAGTAAGTGACCTGACCTCAGGGTCTGGGCCTTCTCATCTGCAAAAATAGAGAGTGGTCCTAAGTGGCCCCTGAGTCTCTTTCTAATCCCCAAATTCTAATTTATCTCCTCTTAATGACTGATTAAAACAAAGGTCCAGATCTTTCACATTTTCTTTGAAGAATGAAAGTTCTGTGAAGAATTCCAACTCCTTCCTAGTCAAGAGAATGTTCAAAAAGAGCTTGGAAGGTGACAACTTCCTTCTGGGGAGATTCCGACACTGAAAAGTAACCAGAGTCTCATGTCAGCCAAAAAGATTTGATCTATTAGAAAAATGGCATAGCTTAGACAAACTACAAAATAATTTGTGACTATGGAAAGAGAATAAGGTTGAAAGAGAAAAAGAATACTGTATTAAAGAAAATGTGTATATTTACTTCTTTCCAGTCTCAGTTCTGGACTAAGAAGTAATTCAAACACATTTTAAAAATATGATATAACAGAATCCTTAATTCTGCAGTAACATAAATTATATACTTCAAAGGCAAAAAGAGATATCCTTATGTGTCTCCTCTTAAGTCGATGAGAATGTTATATTGATGCATTGGAACAGTGTCGATGAATTCAGTATTCCATGAATTGAAACCGAAATCACACAAACCCTTAGGTCCTTCATCCTTGGGGGGGTGAAGGTTCCTGACTGGATCCCGGATACTGCAATCTGTCCCTGCCCAGGTGAAATCACAAATGCAGGTGGCTTCATTACTACACACCTGTGAAGAAAAAGGAACAGATACAGCATTTTCACTGTATTTTGTAGAATAATGGTGATAGATGTAAAAGAGACATGGGGGCAGGGAGGAAGCTTTAAAAGCTATTTGGAATTTCTTTTTAAAGTTTCCCATGGTTGTGATCACTAGACATGAAGTAATAATGCATAGATCATATTGTGTAACATTTTTTCCATTAATTAAAGAAAAAGATTAAAAGGAAGAAATTCTTCAATTATTTATTATTATTCTCAAATTAAATTGAATTATTCATGTTATTCTTAAACTGAATCATGATATTACTTAAGTATACAAATGTCTGATAAGATACTTTTTCCTACTTTGTTCAGAAGTAGCTGTTTCTAGGAACACACTTTAAAAACATATATACTTCATTCAATAAATTAATAGATAGTGGGCTCAAAAGCATTGCTGGAGATAAAAGGCCAGGAGACATAAATCACCAATGCCTTGTATGACCTCACTATCACCATGTCCAACACCAAACTCACTTGGCGGCACCTTCCCTGCCCAACAAGCATTCCCCCCAACCCCATCCCAACACCCCTAGACCCTGGTAACCCTCTTTTCTCAGTCAGCCAAGCTGAGGACCCCAGAGTGATCTTTGTCTCCTCCCTCTTTCTCCAGGGACCCGCCAGCATGCTGGAATGGAACTGTAATCTAAATGAAATAAATAACAATCAGCAAACTAGACACAGGAATGTTTAAACCCTTATCTCCCTGAGAAATACATTCAGGGACAGATTACTAGAGATGATAAAATCAAACAAGGAAGCTTTTTAATCTGAAATATTCTAATGCCATGATTGCGATTAACAAGGCTGAATGTGGCCTTTTTGTCGTCGTTGTTGTTATTATTGTTGAGATGGAGTCTTGCTCTGTCGCCCAGGCTGGAGTGCAGTGGCTTGATCTCGGCTCACTGCAACCTTCGCCTCCCGGGTTCAAGCGATTCTTCTGCCTCAGCCTCCCCAGTAGCTGGGACTACAGGTGCCCACCACCACACCCAGCTATTTTTTGTATTTTTAGTAGAGATGGTGTTTCACCATGTTGGCTAGGAGAATGGCTGAAAGTCCAGCCACTGTGACCATGCCAGACCATGAAGGTTCCAGCTGTCACATTGATACCTACTTACCCCATGGCCCGAACAGACTTTACCCTTGGAATCAAGTGGACAGCTGCTCATATTTAGGGCTTGAATTTGTAGGCACTTCCGATCTAAACACATCATAGACGGGCCACATGGTGTTCCATCTTCTACATAGCCCACATCCGTATCATCATCTAAAACTACATGAGCACCACTAAAACAAGAAAGATATCCATTTAACCAGTCGCACCACACTTAGAAATATAACATCAACACGAATGAGACTTGCTCTTCATGAAACTGAAGAGGCTGTCAGTGGATGTGGATTTCTCCTAGCATTTTCTTACTCCTCTTCTTCTTCCCCTTTCCCTACCTTTCCTTAATAAAAGAGCATGAAAAAGAAACTCATAATCATTATTAGAAAACACATCAACAAGAAAAATGTCATTTGCACAAAGTATATTCTAAATCTTCACTTGTTTTCAAGACCCAACATTAAGACTAAAGGAGAAGTATCTGTATGAGAACAAAAGAAGCAAATATATTAGTAGCTCTCCAAGGCTTTCAGATGTAGCATAGTAAAAAAAAAAGCAGATGATGAACAAAAACAGCAAATAAAAAATATTTTGAAAAATATTATTCTTACTTCAGAAGATCTGACTATCCATAATTGAAAAAAATAAACAAACCAGTTATTTCCTATTGATATTTACAGACATGCCTAGCGTAATGATGGGGATAACATTCTAAGAAATGTGTCATTAGTCAATTTCGTCTTTGTGCAAATGTCATAAAATGAGCTTACACAAACCTGGATGGTATAGCCTACTATACACTGACACTGCTAGATGGTCTCGTCTATTGCTGCTGGGCTAAACTCCTGTATAGTATGTTACTGTACTGCATACTGTGGACAGTTATAAAACAATGGTAAGTACTTGCCTATCTAAACATATGTAAATAGAGAAAAGGGGCAGTATGACTTTTCTATGTTTAGATATGTTTAGATAGGCAAGTACTTACCATTGTGTAAAAAATTTCAGTCAATGGCAGACCACATATATGACAGTGGTTTCATAAGATTATTTCATGTGTTTTAGTGCTTACTTCTAAAATTTCAAAGTTGGGAATAATTTGAATTTGAATGATAATGCTATAGTCACTAACAGAATATCTTGCTGAATATTTAACAAATATGCTAGTTTAGTATATACAACAATATAATTTAACAAGGCTATTTTATCTAAAGGCATGAAAACACACATTCAAATAAAGCTTGTATACATCAAAGTAACTAGCTTTAGAGACTACAAATTTATTCCAGGAGGGCTCTCACTGTCCAAGACCCTGTTAGAATTGTCTTCAGAGCCATTTAAAAGCCAGGAAAGAAGTAACCATTTGACCGAGACAGCATTATCCAATTTAGTACCCAATAAATTTCCTAAAATTACTTTTGGATCATCCCATATCTTGTATTATCTCACTTAAGGTGAAGATATGGTACTCTAAGGATACTAAAAGTTTGCAGACGCTGAAGGCAATTCTGTAGGCAGAAGGCCAAAAGTGTTTTAGCAACAACATTGAGTAAGAAACTAGTATCTTAGAATTATGACTACTTTGAAGGAAACAATACCTATTTGGAATATAATATGACTCCCTGGATAAACAAAAATAAGCCTCGTATCTACATGCCTTGTACTCACAGACAACTGGATATCAAATGTTTGCTTATAGGTTACCTACTATTTTAATAAATATTTTCTATATGTGATTAGGTATTTGTTAAGCCATCTTCCAAACCAGACATAAACTACATAAACTGTAGCTTAAATTCTTTTTCTTTTCAGTCATAAAAAAAAAAAAACACATACAGTGTTCAAATAGTGACATACTCTAATGCTTAAAACTTTAATAATGGGTTAGAATGAACACCATAATTCCGCTCTTAAAATTATGATGACAAAGAAGGGTATATTACTACTAACTAGTATAACTTTGAGCAAATGTAAGCTGCAAGTCAATATACAACTTTGTTTTTTTTAAGTGACTGTCAACATGAAAGGTGATAATAAAATCTAAGTTAACTTTCCTCTTGTAAAAACTAGAATCTTTGATTTCTGATTTTTTTGAAATTTGATTTTCTGAAATGTGTAATTCTCATGGCTTATGAGGTCTTCCAACATTTAATATGTTACCTGCAGTCAATCACCCGGCCTTGATGGTAGAAGGAAGTTGGAATGATCTCACCCTGAAGTTGACCAATACGTGGAGCTCGAGTAAGATTGGTACAGAGTAAGAATCCACAGAACACATCACTGAACATGTGTAAAGAAAACAAACAGACCAGACAAGAGGAATCAAGCTTAAAAAATCCAAACGATTCGGTCCACATTTATTCAAATTTTTAAAATATTCTCTTTCTTTCTAAACAAAAACATTTGATCATATATCATTGGTAGGTGATAACCCCCTCCTTCTTTGCTAAGAGGATCACAGTTTTGTTTGGAACAGCAAAGTGCCCAGCCCTGAAAGATGGATCATGACTGCTGTCTCATCTATTCTTGGTACTCCCATTCTCGACACCCACTTTCCTATCCATTCCCCCTTCTCCTCTTCTTAGAGTTAAAAGTGGCCCCTGGGCTGTGAAGACGTGAGTAAAAGCTGGCTAGGGAGTGACTGGGAGGATTTTGTTTTTGGGATAAAAGGTTAGAGACTGACAAGGAGAAGACCTCTTGCTCCTATCCCTACTTCCTAGCTTTGAATGTATAGCTTTTGCATCCTCTTCACAATCATGAGTTCACAAAGCATAAGGACAAAAAGCCAACACGCTAAGGGTTGCAGGATGGAGGGGCAGAAATTATCTGGGCCTTTGGTGACCTTGTTAAATTCATGCACCATAAGGACCTCTACCTCTAGTCTGTTAAGTAAACAATGACTCCTAAAAAATGGGCAAAGAATTAAAGTGGCACGTCACAAAAAAAGGAAATCCATGTCCAACAAATGTACAAAAATGTGCTAAATTCCACTTGTAATCTGGGGAAATGCAAATTAAAACCATGCTAATGTATCAGGTCACACCCACCAGAACAGATAAAAGCAAAAAGTCTGATAATACCAAGTGTTGGTGAAATATGGCATAACAAAATTCTTATATACATAATACTGATGGTAGAATTTACTAGTTCAGCCATTTTAGAAAACAGTCTGACATCATTTGGTAACACTGATAACATCCCCTATGACTTAGCAAATTTTCTACTTATGTACAGGCCTTACAGAAAGAGGTACAAATGTGCACTAGGTTACATATACAAGAATATTCATAGCAGCATGATGCCTAATAGCCAAAAAATGAAAACAATCTAAATGTTCATCAACACAGAATGGAGAACTAAAGTATAGTATATCCATTTATTTGTACATTTATAAAAGTGAAATAAATAAATAATAAAAATGAACAACAGACAGCTATACACACCACAGAAAACTCTTAAAATGCTGGACTTGAGAAACTGAGAAACAAAATACAAAATAACACATGAAGCATTAGGGATGAAAACTTAGGCAGTAAAACTCTAAAGAAAAGTCAGGATGAAGGTATCTGCACTATTTCTGGGATGATGCTGCAATGTTCTATTTCTTGACCCACGTAGGAGTGACATGGGAGTTCACTTCATAATTATTTGGTAAAATGTATATTTATGTGTTGTTTATTTTTATGTTTATACATTTAACAATTTTTTAAAAACAAAGATGAGGTCTCACTATGTTGTCCAGACTGGTCTTGAACTCCTGGACTCAAGCGATCTACTCGCCTCGGCTACCCTAAGTGCTGGGATTACAAGCAGGAGCCATCGTGTCTGGCCATATATTTCACAATTTTTTCAAGTTTCGAACACATTAATTTCCCTTACCTTATTGGGGATTAGGTATTCTATTACCAGATACTAAAAAGCTATCTTTTACAATAATCTAATCCAATGCCTCTCAAACTTTTTGAGGTCATGAAACAGAGAGAGATAATCAGATTCTCTAGGACATGGAGTGAATGAATAAAGCTAATCAAATTCAAGGTGTCCAATCCCATGGATTTTGACTACTTCAGGCTCCCCTTGCTCCTATTCCCTGACACCTCAAGGACTGAGGATCAACATCTTGGAACATCTGTGCTTCACTCATGAGACATCAGATAAGAAGCTCTGTTCTCTATTATTTTGGTTTAATTTTTAAAAAATTATAGTCAAAGATTTGTTGCCTACTATGGCCTCATTCATCATCAAAGACTACATGGAATTGCAAAGTTTCGTAAAATATAACAGAGATCATTAACTGAGAATAAAGCTTCCCTTAAATTCTTGCTCTGCTTCAAAATTAGGAGAATTTTCATTGCTTTAGAAGGGATGATTTCATTGTTCCACAGTAATTGAATTAACCTTAATAACCTAATTAATGAGAATTCTAACTTTCCTCAACTAATCAAAGAAATAGCAGGCTGGGCATGGTGGCTCAAGCCTGTAATCCCAGCACTGAGAGGCTGAGGAGGGTGGATCACTTGAGGTCAGGAGTTTGAGACCAGCCTGGCCAACATGGTGAAACCCCATCTCTACTAAAAATACAAAAAGTAGCCGGGCGTGGTGGCAGGTGCCTGTAATCCCAGCTACTAAGGAGGCTGAGGCATGAGAATCATTTGAACCCAGGAGGAGGAGGTTGCAGTGAGCTGAGATCATGCCATTGCACTCCAGCCTGGGCGATAGAGCAAGACTCAGTCTCAATTTAAAAAAAAAAAAAAAAAAAGACAGACAGAAAGAAATATCAATGTGCTCTGAAAGTATCTCATTTCCTGAGTAAAGATGCCTTTAATATGTACTAACTAGATGCTTTTTGGAAAGGAAAAAAAATCTCTGGTGTAAATATTAGATATCTGAATAAATCAAATGTTACTACACTTGTGAAATGATAAAAAAAAATAGTAAGATTTCACTTTCGTCGCAAAAATATATATGGTCTACATAGTTTGCTTTTAAACTACATGTATACTACTACGTTCATAGGCCATATATTCTAGTAAAAGTAGAAAATTAAAAGCTAGTATTAATTTGTAATGCTCTGGCAAAGTATCTCATCAGAACAAAAATGAAGTAAAATATGGCACCTGAGAAATTTTCTGAATTCTGTGGAAATGGCATGACTCTGTAGCATAGTAACAGTTTAATCTGTAGCCATTTGCCTCTAGATATAATAATATCTATTACAAACAAATACTTTAAATTTTGGAATAGGTGAACACTTAGAAAAAAATCATTAGCATTTATTTTGTGCTCATTTTGCACTTGCATAATAAGGGGTTCCAAGTCCAGTGATGATGCCCTCAGAGCTGACCACTCACTGTTTGCTGCACTGAATCCACCGGTCTCCATCCTTCCCACAGTTTCCCTTCTCAGTGCCTTCTGTATTCAGTTTTTCATAGCAGAACTTGTCAGACCCTGCAGCCTCTTTTGGAGATAGGCAAGAGAAGAAAATTAATTCTCATCTTCTTTGTTATCCATAACCAGTAATGTGCCAGTAAGTGTTTAACACCTGATTCTCCAGAACAAGGAAAAAGAACATCCTGATTTGTAGCATTTGCAAGTTTCCATGGCATAAATTCTCCATGGCTGATTTCACACTCAATGTGATGTCCATGGGCTTGCAAAATTCCTAAAAATTTAACAATTGGCTCTTGCAAGCTAATACGAAAAAGTTCCAACACAACACTGGTTTTAGCCTGAGACACAAATTTCTCTCCAATGCTTGTTGGTGAGTTTGAGGATGGAAGGTGCGAATGACTATCAGCAGGAATTGGTGAAGTGACACACAGGCAACTAACATTCTTAATCTTGTTTTATATCAATATTAGGAAATTAATTACAAAGTTGTAGCCCATTGAGGTTTTATGTCGGCACCTGAGTTTTGATAATTAAACCTTTCAAAATACAAATGTCTCCATTATCTTTTCTCTGTCAAAACTAAAGCACTGAATGTAAATCAGTCAAAGAAATGGTATTTGCCAAACTCTAAAATCACTCGTGCCGGAGCCCTGTTCTCCTTTTGTGTGCTTTCTTTTCCTTTGGGGTGAACCCGGCCTTGGCTAGAAAGGCAGACTCATTTCTCATTCTTCCCCCCATCTGGCCCTCATGAACTGATATTATTATAGAGGCAATGTAAATGTCAGGAAGAGGATATGCACATGAACTTTTAGGGAATGTACTAAGAATCATAGCCATGTACCTGTCTGCATCTCAGGAAGTACATGCATCTCTTCACTTTGAAGTGAGACAGTAAATGACAAAATTTAAAAAAAAAGTCTGGTATTTTCCCGGAGTAAAACCCAGAAAGCTAACTTGTGTGTGTTAATGGAAAAAAGGGGGTCAAATGTTAAAACCAAGGTACAAAATAAATCACACAAGTGGCTGGATAATCACACTGTACTCAACCCAATCTTTGCAAATGAATGCAACACCCCCTTCTCTGAGAGCCACAGCCACTAAATGGCACTGCTCAGTTCTGACAAGCGCCCAACTTAAGCAGTTGTTTTCTATAGTTTTTGTGACTAAGATTCACAGTTCTCTTTATTCTCATCCTTTCTAGATTTTTTTAAAAACATCACTCCAAGCTGTGCATCTCAGCAAGACTGGCAGAGAAGAACACTATAAAAGAAAATGGTATGTGTAACCACCAAGCAAGGAGATGCGACCTACTTGTTCCCCAGATGTACTGACACTGGTTGTCTCTAGTCTTGCACTCGCCATTGTAGCAGCGGCCCTGGGGACAGGAACACACATGTGAGGCACACACAGTCAGTTTGTTTTCCCCAACATTTTTACTACAATGTCTCCTTCTGGTTCACTTGGATAAAGTTTTTTCATTTCATACTCTAATATTTTTATAGTGACCAATAAGAATCACAAACATCTTCAGAATAACAGTTAAAAATTTAAAACTCTAAACAGAACTCATTGTACAGCTCTCTAAATGTAAACTAAACATCTAAAATTTGAAATTTTACAGTAAACAAAAACTGGTATATTTCTGTGAAAGAACCAAAACGATTTTTAGGTTCTTTTGTGTATGGATGGTTAGAAAACATCAAATCTGCATTTGATATCATGATACTTACCTGTAGGTTATAATATGGCTTCAGGGAACAAAAAAACTCATGACAGATTGTCATATTTTCTTTCCCACACCAGGCAGGTTGAAATTACTGAAAAATGGTCACAACTCAATAAATGAGACTCCCAGTTCTTCAGCCATTACATTCTTTTTTTTTTTTCTCTCTCTTAATCTGGGCAATTTGTCACCAGAGGTAAATATATTTAATATTTGGCATCACATGAAGCAACTCTAAATTAGAATCCCACTATAATCATTTACTTGAGTAAAATTCCCTTCGAAGTTATATTAATATTGATCAAAAAAGGAAAAAAAACTTTCCAACGAATCCTTTTTAAATTACACTTAAAATTTATAGCCCAGCATACCTGATTTTGATTGCATGCATATCCGTCTTGCTTATGAAGATTTGGTGGGCACTGCAAAATATTATCTTTTTAGTTAATATTCAGCATGCTAGGTACCTTCAGATAATGTGTATACTATATATAATGCAAGCATGGTGGATATACATAACTAGAAACATTGAGAAAAACACATGCAACTCCTTAGATTATTAATCCCATTATTTATGCTATTATTGGTAAAATAAGTAAATAAGGGCCACATAGTGCATACATTTTATGTTTCTTCTGTTTATGGTGAGGTGGACCAGAATAACAAGTCACATTCACTTGCCTACAGAGTTAAAAGTAGAAGAGATTAAAATGGACAATGAAGGAAATGAATCAGCTTGGTACATAGGAAGGGACACATTCAAGAAACTAATTTACAAGAACTTGCTCAGCTCTCTGAAAATGTCAAATCTGCATTTGACATCATGACATTTTACCTATAGGCTACTTTAGTGAAACAGAAGAAATACTTTGCCTTTCAACGCAAAGTAAGTGCTATATCTCCATTATATTAATAGTTCTGACCTCTTCAAACTACAGACATGTTACTAGAACAGTCTGTGATGTGATGGTTATTTCTTTTTATAGGTCTATGTATCAAATCATTTTTAAAAGAAATACTTCATTTCCCCCCAAAGTTACTCTCTGTACATTTTATTGACCACATTTAAGAGAATGTAAAAAGGTCTGCTACAGTGTTTAAAACAAATACAAAAAGAAAAAAATATGCAGGCATGGCAAATAAATAAGAAACAGCAGTATGCACCGAGGTCCTCCCTCAGTCTTCACCTTCTCAGTAAATGATGTTCCATCCTTCCAATTGTTCAAGCCAAAGGCCATAGTCATCTTCTATTACTCTCCTCTTTCACTCTCCCTCCATCTAGTCTGTCCATAAATCCTGCTAGTTCTATCTTCAAAATATAATGCCAATCTGACCCCTTTTCTCCACCCCTACTGCTCATACCCTGTCCAAGGCACCACCATCTCTCACCTGGATTACTGTAATAGCCTTCCACCTGAGTCCCTTGCTTCTACCCTAGTCACTTTAGAGTTTACATTGCTATCAGAGTGATCTCTTTAAAAAGGTAAATACCAAATCACATCGATCTTCTGTTTCCCAACTTACTCAACAACCTTACAAGCTCAACATGATTTGCTCCTACACTCTCTCATCCTGTCATCTCTGTGACATCATTTTCTGCTCACTCATGGCTGATGTGACTCCATGTGGACACGACAGGCATGCTGCCACCCACAGCCTTTGCCTTTGCTTTCCCGTTGTCACTCCAGATTTCTGCATGGCTCATTCCCTCACCTTTGTTAGAGCTTTGTTCAAATATCATCATCCCAAAGAGGCCTTCGGAGAACCCATGCTCTTCAAAGCTGCAGCCCCTCCCATGCTGGCACTCTCTGGGGCTGTGCCAATTTAGGATAAGGGCTTTAAGGGCTTCTTTTTTTATTATTATTATTAGAGAAGTCTACAAGTTTTTTTCTTTTTCTTTTTGTATTTGTTTTAAACACTGTAGCAGACCTTTTTTTTTTTTCTTCTCCAAAGCACTTATCACCAACTGACAATTCATGTTTTACTTACTTGTTTGTTCATTGTTGCCCCATCATAATATGAGCTCTATGCAGGCAGGATTCTATGTTTTGTTTCCTACTGCTGCCCTATTACCTACACCACCACCAGGCATGTGGCAGGTGTGCAAGTACTGTGAACTGCCAGAGAACATAAACGCATGGCCCAATAACCAGATACGACTATGTTATTCTATGCTGCACATATTGAGCCACTTACCAAGTTCACCACAGAAAGATAACAGAACTGATTTAGCGTTCCTAAGAAGCAGTAATTTCCTAACAAACATTCCAAGGCAAATGCTTTGGTTCTACACCTTTCTAAAGAATAACTGACTCTCATACAAGTTTCATTCGCCACAGCTTTTCAATCTGGTGAGTATTCAAGGGATTAGCACTAAAAAGCAGAAATACACAACTACACAAAAACAGAAATCCCTGTGGTTTCTTTCATCCATCCAGAGTCACTCAAAATGCAATCACTATCTCATTAATCAACTATCATTAATTATTCACTCACTCTAAAACTAATGCAACCAGTGATAGGGATCATGGTGGACAGGAGGCAGGACTAGATTGCAGCTCTGGACAGAGCAGCATGCGGAGGCCTGCAGTGTGAACTTTAGCTCCAGATCGACTGCAAGAACAAACCAGCAATCCCAAGAGGACCTACAGACCCTCTGAAGGAAGCAGACTGCTCCTGCAGGACCCAGGAGACACCCAAATACTGTGAGTGCCCCAACTGCGGAAGGGGGAACACACACCCCCACTGGAGAAGCTGAAGGTCTGTTTGCAGGAGAGGTTTCTGACTTTACCTAGAGCTGAGTCAAGTTAGAGAGCCGAGCCAAATACAGAGGTAGAGGAAGCAGCAGAAAGGCTCGGGAGTTCACTAGGTCCCCGAGCAGCCCATTCTTGCCAGACACCACAGGGATCCGTCGGGAGGGTGGCCAGAGGAGCAGGAGTAAAACTCCACAGGGAGCAGGAATTCTCTAGCTGAACTTTGTAACAATTTGAACTGGGCGAGAAGCCTCCTGGCCATCACTCCGGGGAGGGCACCAATTGGGTGTGCAGACCTCACAGGCCGGGGGAGAACTAAAGCCCTTTTTTCTTGAAGCTGGGACCATCGGGTGTGGGCAGAACTAGGTGTGTCTGAGCTCAGACTCTCCTTGGGCGGGTCTTGCTGTGGTTGCTGTGGGGGATGGGGGTGAGATTCCCAGATCCCTACCTAGGCTGCCTCTGCTGAGTCATGCAGGTTGTCAGGAAAGTGGGGGAAAGCCAGCAGTCACAGGCCTCACGCAGCTCCCACACAAACTGAAGAGGTGATTATAGTGGAAGACAAAGGGTATACAATCTTGGGAGTTTTAGGGCCCTGCCCACCGCCAATCCCTCTCCACACTACTACAGCTGATACTTTCCGGAAAGCGTGACCTTGTGGCAGGAGGCCAACAAGCACAAAAATAGATCATTAGACCACCAAAGCTAAGGACCCTCATGGAGTCCATTGCACCCTCTGCCACCTCCATTGGAACAGGCGCTGGTATCCACAGCTGAGAGACTCGAAGATGGTTTACATCACAGAACTCTGTGCAGACAACCCCTAGTACCAGCCAGGAGCTGCGTAGACTCACTGGGTGGCTAGACCCAGAAGAGGGAGAACAATCACTGCGATTCAGCTCACAGGAAGCCATATCCATAGGAAAGGAGGGGACAGTACAACACCCGTGGGACAAAAGAATCTGAACAACAGCCTTCACCCCAGACTTTCCCTCTGACAGAGCCTACCTAAATGAGAAGGAACCAAAAAAACAACTCTGGTAATAGGACAAAAACAAGGCTCTTCAATATCCCCCCAAAAAATCATACTAGTTCATCAGCAAGGGATCCAAACCGAGAAGAAATCCCTGATTTACCTGAAAAAGAATTTCAGGAGGTTAGTTATTAAGCTAATCAGGGAGAGACCAGAGAAAGGCAAAGCCCAAAGCAAGGAAATCCAAACAATGATACAAGAAGTGAAGTGAGAAATATTCATGGAAATAGTAGCTTAAAGAAAAAACAATAAAAAATTCAGGAAACTTTGGACACATTTATAGAAATGTGAAATGCTCTGGAAAGTCCTAGCAATAGAAATGAACAAGTAGAAGAAAGAAATTCAGAGTTTGAAGACAAAGTCTTTGAATTAACCCAGTCCAACAAAGAAAAAGAAAAAAGAATAAGAAAATATGAACAAAGCCTCCAAGAAGTCTGGGATTATGTTAAACAACCAAACCAAAGAATAATTGGTATACTTGAGGAAGAAGAGAATTCTAAAAGCTTGGAAAACATATTCAAGGGAATAATCAAGGAAAACTTCCCTGGCCTTGTGAGAGACCTAGACATGCAAATACAAGAAGCACAAAGAACACCTGAGAAATTCATCGCAAAAAGATCACCACCTAGGCACATTGTCATCAGGTTATCCGGAGTAAAGACAAAGGAAAGAATCTTAAGAGCTGTGAGACAGAAGCACCAGGTAAACTATAAAGGAAAACCTATCATATTAACAGCAGATTTCTCAGCAGAAACTCTACAAGCTAAAAGGGATTGGCGACCTATCTTCAGCCTCCTCAAACAAAACAGTTATCAGCCAAGAATTTTGTATCCAGCGAAACTAAGCATCATATATGAAAGAAAGATACAATCGTTCTCAGACAAACAAATGCTGAGAGAATTTTCCATTACCAAACCACCACTACAAGAACTGCTAAAAGGAGCTCTAAATCTTGAAACAAATCCTGGAAAAACATCAAAACAGAACCTCTTTAAAGCATAAATCACACAGGGTCTATAAAACAAAAATACAAGTTAAAGCAAAAACAAAAAACAAAACCAAAGCACACAGACAATAAAGAGCATGATGAAAGTAATGGTACCTCACATTTCAATACTAACATTGAATGTAATGGCCTAAATGTTCCACTTAAAAGATACAGAAGCACAGAATGGATAAGAACTCACCAACCATCTGCTCCTTTAGGAGGAGACTCACCTGACACATAAACACTCACATAAACTTAATGTAAAGGGGTAGAAAAGGCATTCCATGCAAATGGACACCAAAAGCAAGCAGGAGTAGCTATTCTTATATCAGACAAAACAAACTTTAAAGCAACAGTGGTTAAAAGAGACAAAGAGGGACAGTATATAATGGTAAAAGGCCTTGTCCAACAGGAAAATGTCACAATCCTAAACGTATATGCACCTAACACTGGAGCTTCCACATTTATAAAACAATTACTAATAGACCTAAGAAATGTTGGCCAGGCATTGTGGCTCATGCCTGTAATCCCAGCACTTTGGGAGGCCGAGGCAGGTGGATCACCTGAGGTCAGGAGTTCGAGACCAGCCTGACCAACACAGTGAAACTCTGTCTCTACGAAAAATACAAAAATTAGCCTGGCATGGTGGCA